CAGGCATACAGTGAGCCTGGGGGTTGGGGATGAATGAGAGCCAGTCCCTGTCTTGGGGAGCTCACAGTCTGATGAAGGAGGCAAACTCGGGAACAAAATGGGCAGGTCTGGGTGACACACAGACACACACATGGTGCTGTGTTCTTGCCCTGACTGGGGCTACCAGGGAGGGCTTCTTGGAGGAGGAGGTGTCTGAGCTGAGAAACAAAGGCCTGGCAGTCAAGAGAAGGCAGAAGGTAGGGCTGAGTTAATGGGAAGAGCTGAGATTCCAGGCAAAGAGGGCCATGTGCAAAGGCCTGGGGCCCCTGAGAGAGGCAAATGGGAGGTAAAAGATTTACCACAGCTCCAAAGGAATATGAGCAGAGGCCAGGTCAAGGAAAGGACCAGAGGAGCCTAAAGCCTGTGGATGCCACATTGTCATTGACCGAATGGAAGGAACGCACATCCCAGGCTTGGCTAATACAGGTACACCCTGCTGTCTTCTAACCACGGGGATGAGGCATGGTGGGGTGGCCAGGACTAACCCTTGGGGCTTGGACATACTGCCGTGGCCATCTCCCAGACAAGGCAAGCAAGATGGCTTGAACACCAAGCAAGGAGCCACAAAGGGGGAATCCATGACACCAAGACCCCAGTGGCCTGGAGGGTGGAGGGAGTGAGGAGATGGGGTGGGCCAGATGTGTGGACAGAAGACCTTCTCCCAAGCACTGCCCAGACATCCCGAGGAACGGACTCCCCAGTGAATGGAATATGCGGTGACATTTAACATAAGGGACTACTGTGGACAGTGCAGGAAGAAGTCATGTTCCGGCAAAGGGGTGAGGAGGCTGAGGCTCAGGCCTTGCCTCAGGGAGCTCAGAGCCCACAGGCCCCTGCTGGGAGTGGATGTGACCAGGCAGCTGGGTAGGGCAGGGTGTGTGTGTGACCTTCAGGGCTTCCTCCCCTCACCCTTGCATACACATATGCAGAGCCTGGTACAGAGATGTGTTGGCCTGGGGACACCTGGGGATCCCCCCTCTTGGCCCCTGGCTAGCTGCCCTGCCCCATGCATGCCTCTTCCTCTTGCCAGTGTCCCCTCGTGGCACCTGCAACCCCTCATTCCTCCCGCTGGTCTCTCCTGCCAGCTCCCGGCCCAAGGCCTCATGAGAAGGCTGTTTGCAGGGCCTGCCTCTCCTGGAATGGACTTTGCTCATGGAGACTGGCAGTTGGACCTGGGGGGAGGGGCTGTTTTTCCAATGCCTCCTCGACTGACCTTTAATTACACTGTTTGCCCAGCTCCCCAAACCATTAACTCCCACCTCACAGCAACCATCAATTAATGGAGGGCCTGCTCTGAGCTCGAGCTCCTGAACACAATTAAGCGTGACAGTCCACAAATAAGAAAGAACTGGAGAATTAATTAAGGTCTAAACAAATTAATTACCAGTCCCCAATCGATTCCGATGCCAGCACACATGCTCCTGGGCTCACCGGCTCTCCTAGCATCTCCATGTATAAACAGAAACCAAGATTTCCAACATGATGGCTGCTCTGGACCAGGGCACAGCAAGGCTCTGGAACCACCGTGAGGGAGAGAAGGGCTCAGTGGGCGTCCTCAGGGCTCCTCACGTGCTCGGCATACGTGTGTGCATGCACACACATACAACCCCCACTGAAAAACCCGGGTCAGCCTGGAGGTGGGGTGTTCCTGGTGGGGTGCCTCTGGGCCAGATCCCTCAGTTTCTCAGTGGTGGGTGAGGGGCTGTCCAAGGGAGCTGAAAGTAGCCTGGGCTGGGCCTTTGCAGTCTGGGCTGTAGCCAACTTAGGATAACTTTCAGAGTCGGGATGTGTTTCTTCTTCTTTAAAATGGGGATGGCTCACCCTGCCTTGGGTCTTCCCAGAGAGACAATGTGGGGAACGAGGGGGAACAGAGGCCTGCTGGGGAAGACATGGAGAATGGTAGGGCCCCTGCAGGCCCAGGGGAGGCCTACAGTCTGTCACAGACATCCCAGTGGGGAGGGGCTGAAGTGGAGGCTGGTCCAAGGCCAGAGAGGGGTAAGGGCAGTAGGGTCAAGTTGGGAAACGAGGTGTCCTGTGACTAGAGTCTCAGGCTCACTCTTGGGCAGCAGGGGCCCAGCGAAGGGAGGTGTCCTCCTGTCTCCCAAACTGCAGGCTGGAGCAGGGCAGAACTCACTTGGCAGGGCAATGGGAAGAATCAACGGAGCCCGGGAGCCTCCTCCTTCCCTGAGCCTGAGTTCCCAGCTTGGCCAGGAAGGAGGGGGTGGGGATGTCATCTCTGAGCACAGGGCACATAGGCAGGCCCTTTCAGGACCCTTCCCCCTCAAGAGCCCTTCTGCTCTACACTCACCGCCCACCCTCCCCTCAGACACACTCATTCCACCAACCAGGGCTTAATCCTGTCACTTCAAACTCCTCCTTCCTGTGGGCACGAAAGGCTCCCTGAGTCCTGCCTCCCCAGAGGTCTGAAGGACAATGGACCCTCTACCAGGCAAAGCAAGTCCTGGGCAAGCTTCTTGGTGGCCTTGCTGTTGGCGTGGCCTGGTCTAGCCGGCCGTGGAAAGCAGGGTGATTGCCCGGAGGGACCGAGGCCCTGCCAGCACGCAGTGAGGCCTAGAGAAGCCATCTAAGCCTGAGAATAAGGTGAAGGGTAGCCACGTGCATGGGCTATAGGACGGCCTGAGAGAACAAGGGGCCCCAAAGCCGGTGAGGGGCCATGCTTGTTTATCCTGCACACCACCGTGTGGGCATGTACCAGGGGGGACTCAGCAGGCGCCATTTGTAGATGGGCCTGGGAGGACATCAGGGGCCTGGGAGGGGGAAGCCTCTGTGTAGGCGAGGAGAAACCGGGGCTAGGGGTGGAAGGAAGGTAGGCACACAGCCAGGACTCAGGAAGCAGCCTTGAGGAAGCAGCCAGAGAGGATCTGCTGCTCTCAAGATCCTGGCAAACTAGGACTATCGGGACGGCAAACCACATTGTGTGCAACCTGTGCAACTGGCTAGGGAGATCTCAAGACCCCTCAACAGTGGCTGGACCTGCCAGGTTCCTCTCAGATCAGCCAGGAGGAGAATCAGGCTGGAGCCCAAAGAGGAACGCATCAGAAAGTCTCCGGTGGGGATGGCAGACAGGGTTAAACCGGAAAGTGGGGTCTTTCTTCCTGAAGGAGCTCCAGAGGTTAGGACCACCCCCAAGGTCATCCAGCAAGATGGCCAGCAGAGCCAGGCTGGAACGGACCCGTGGCAAAGTCCTTGTCTGCAGCTTGGCTCAAGGACAGATTACATCTCGGCCGAGTCCCAGATCCAGTCCAGTGCAGTTCAGAGCCGCCCACCTTCTGAGGCTGCCTCTGACCCTCCAGCCCGGGAGAGTAGGGAACGCAAGATCGGCAGCCTTGTTCGCTCAATTAGGCCCCTTAACAAAGTCAGATCTAAAGAGTTATTCCATTAGTGGCCCATGCCAGAAATAGCTGAGAGTTCATTAAAAGTGTGGAGTTGCTATAGCAATTATCTGGGTCAGCTGAGGCTCACTGGGGCAGCTGGGCCTGGGAGTTCATTAGCCTCTGGCCAACAAGGAACAAGGCTGTCAGGTAATGATCTCCCATCTCCTCGCAGGGGCTTTGCAGGTGCTCCCAAGCACTTTCCTATGAATGGAATCTGGTCGGTGGTAGTCTGATCTTCCCACAGCTCTGGGCTACAGGAAGGTAGGTACCAGCACTCCCATTTTACGGGTGGGGAAGTTGAGCCCTGGAGGTGAAGCATGAGATCGGGACAATGAACCTGGATCTGACTCTGGCTCTTCAGCCTTAGCCTTGGCACCCGGGAGGTCACAGGACCTCATGCTGCTCCTGGGCTGCCCCCCGGCTTTGTCCTCTGGCATCACACTTGAACTTGGTATCATGGTTCAAGTGTATACTTCTCTTTTGATGATGAATCACACACTGCCTCATGCTTCTGTCAATGCTGTTTCTTTTCAGTTTTTAAAAAACTTTCTACTGCAGCGCCCACTTCCAAGCAAGGCGTGGGATTCTCAAGAGCCAGGCTGGGCCTGATGGGATGGCCCAAGGCATCTCCTGGGAGCTCAGAGCCTCCAAAACCATCAAAGTCTCGGCCAAAGGCAGTGAACTCCCCTACACACACACACACACACACACACACACACACACACACACACACACACACACACACAGA